GACATGTCCCGGCGTCACGTGCTCGTGGTGCCGTTTGCTATGCGGGGTAGGGTCGTCCTGGCTGCCCATGAACGACTCATGCACCTGGGGTTTCACAAAACGCTCGCCCTCATTCAGCGAGACTACTATTGGCCGGGGATGGGCAACGACGTGGCGAACATTCTTAAGGGATGTGTAGGGTGCGCCCAAAGAAAACCACCACCAATAGCGGCTAATCCACCGCTGCAATCCATTCAGGTTTCGCGCACGAACGAATTGGTCGCGCTAGACATCTTGGGGCCCTTTCCCGTTACACCTCGGGGAAATAAGTCCCTGCTGGTTGGCGTAGAGTACTTCACCCACTGGCCCTTGGCATGGCCACTCGCCAACCAGTCGGCTGCGGCAGTGGCGGACGCCTTTGTCCAAGGTTATGTTTTGGACAAAGGCGCCCCCGAACGCTTGCTGACGGATCAAGGAAAAAAATTTTCGAGCATTTTGTTGCGCGAGGTGTGCGACCTATTGGGTACAAAGAAAGTACGTACCTCCCCGTACCACCCGCAGACTGACGGTATGGTTGAACGTCTGAACAGGACGATTACGTCTATGCTGTGCCAACAGGTATGCGACGACCAGGTGGATTGGGACTTACAGGTACCGGGGGTACTAGCGGCCTATCGAATGGCCCCTCATGCGGCGACGGGGTTTTCTCCATTTTTTCTGATGTATGGGCGGGAGGCTGATCCGGCCATGGATGTCCAACTGGGGATTTCCCAGCCACGTGCAAAATCTAAATTGGCAGACCATATCAAGTTTAATATCGCCAGATTGGCTGAAGCGCGAGAGGCTGCGAGATTGAATTCGCGGTCTCGGCAGATCGCGAACGAGCGATTGCATGGACGGAAGGTGCATACGCACGATTGGGAACCGGGCGATAAGGCCTGGCTGCATTGTCCACACGCACCGTTGGCTACGTCCCCCAAACTGTTGAGACCATGGAGGGGACCGGTGGAAATTGTGCGGGTTGCACGACCCCAGAGTATACAGATTAAATGGGGAAGACGCCGTTGGTACGTGCACCCCTCCCGGACTGAAACCCTACGCGGCGCCGCGTGACCCCGTTTCGTGCCGTGACGACCGGGCGTGTGATGTGTCCGTCGACTCGGGGAGGGATGTGTCGCAGGCTGATCCTCACGTGTCTCCACCTGACCCACCCCCAGGTGTCTCGGACCTGACGGCTGTTGACCGTTGGGAAGCGGAACCCCGCGGCTCGCGCAGAGCCCCGAGGCCTGGCCCATGCCTTCCTGAACTGCCGGCGTCACCGGATGGCCAACCGCGTCTGGTGCCGTACGACGGACCGGCAAGGCGGACTCGGGCTAGGACGCAACACTTTTCATGAGAAAAAAAAAAATTCTTTTTTTGTTCAAAACCCGACCTCGCCGCCGTGTCCCCCCCCTCTGCCGGGGAAATGTCCCGTTCAAGGGATGCTCGGACATATTGGGACGCTGCACGAGTCGGAGAGAAAGGAAGAGAAAAAGAATAAAGAAATTTTTTTTATTACTCCTTCTGCATACACATTATCGTTGCCACTCGCCGGATTGTACATATTGTTCTTGCTGTGGGTGTGGCGGTTGCGGGTTTTTTGCGGATAGCGGTGTTCATGTTGTGTTGTTATGTTTTTGTTGTTATGTTACGGGGCACACATAAGGGGGAGGGGGTGTTGTATATTTTGTTAGCAGCCGGGTCGGCTGCGAGCTATGTGGTAGGGGGTGATGTAGTGGTGGTGTTGACGTGCGCCGACAGTGATGGATCACGGGGCGCGGGGTTGGGCACGCGATGTGGGCGTGGTATGAACGCGCACGCCGGTGGTGAGGCGCGCTGATACAATCGGGGAAAAGAGGATCGTAGCCAGCGCGCGCAGTGATTGGTCAATAAGATGGGTGCTCTCAGCGACGTCCGCAGGAGGGGTATAAAGGGAGACGCGCGAGAGCACTCGTGGTCAGTGTTAACCAGTTGAAGACCGAAGACGGAGTGGAGGAGGTAGTGGCCCGAGACCCCTAGTCCCGCTGTCCTTGTCGGGACCGGGGCCCTGTGTGGCTCGGAGCCGAGACTGGGGAACCCGTAGTCCGACGCCCGCGTGGGTCGGGACGGTGGTACCCAGAGCCGAGACGGACACCCCAGCCGGGTGTGTTCCGGAAGGCTACGGGGCGTAAGAGCCCGTGTCAGTATAGCTGAGTGGGTGTTAGTCACCCGAGTAGCTAAGTGGGTGTTAGTCACCCGTGTAGCTGAGTGGGTGTTAGTCACCCGAGTAGCTGAGTGGGTGTTAGTCACCCGAGTAGCTAAGTGGGTGTTAGTCACCCGTGTAGCTGAGTGGGTGTTAGTCACCCGAGTAGCTGAGTGGGTGTTAGTCACCCGAGTAGCTAAGTGGGTGTTAGTCACCCGTGGAGCTGAGTGGGTGTTAGTCACCCAAGGGGCTGGGTGAGTGTTAGTCACCCGTGTAACAGTTTGGTGTCAATAAAAAGAGTGTGCTACCCGTGAAGACGTCTCCCGCCGAGTTACTACTTTACACATGTATAAAGATAATAATAATTGTTTTCATTTACTTTATTACATTTTTTACCTACGTGACTTTACCGAAAAAACCAAAGAGTATGAGTAACAATAAAACGGTTTTAATAAATTGTTACATTTTTAAGAATGAGCATTTGGGGTAGGAAAATTGTAATGGTCACGTGTGAATCGAGTTCAGGGCAGTGGGGGATTGGTGAGGTGTAGGCATAGCACGTGGGTGTTAGGTACTGTATCTCTATTAATTTCTCAAGAGGCTAACTCCAATTCCCATTTCAATATGAAGGTCAATCAGACCACAGCCGCAGTGGAACATACGTAACAATGCTACACTGATTTCCACAATCACATCTCCAGTGATAGCATAGCAAAATACCTGCTAAATATACAGCATTTGCATGCATGACGTTCCACAATATTTAGTGTGCATTTCAGACACTTTGATGAACATGGGGTAATCATGAGTACAATCATGCAGTGAAGATTTACTCCGGCATTGTGTCAACAAAGTACGACGAAAATTCACGTATAAATAAATTGTCCACCTTTCTTGATGAGGGGGAATTGCTCATACAACATCAAGGTGTCTGATGTACCCCGACAAGCTGACAATTTCTTCCATGGTCAAAGGGCATTCAGCTACGTGTTGTCTACTGTTCTTTCGTCCAAGTAGTTCACAGTTCCTATGATCACTGTTTCATTGCTTTCATGGCTTTATTTTGGTGATTTTCGAAAAGTTTTTTGGTTTGGCCATGTTTGTTTGTTGTAGTACAGAGTTAGACTGATGGCCTTAATCTAAGTTGTCTTGTGGTTGTTGTTGTTGTTTGACTTGCATCCCACTGGGATATTTGCACAGGGTTGGTGTACGGTGATTTTTTCTGCAATATTTTGCTGTCTTTTCTTGGATTTTCTGTTTGCACATAGTCACTTTAAGATGTTTTCTTGTTCATGTTTTTGTTTTTGTTTGTTGCGGTTGCACCCGATTCAAGAGCCGAATGGCTCACAGGGATATACCTAATAAATGAACTTTGAACGTTGTGATTACACTCAGGACGGTCTGGCAACGGATAAACAACGAGGCTTCATAAAACAATTTAAGTATTTACTAAACAACTTCGGTGGCAACAACAAGCACTACTAATACAGTTTTGAATTGTTTCATAAAGCCTTCAAACCCACACTTAATGACCCTTATTTACAGTTGACTGTCCGAGGCCATCCCGGGTGTAATCATCTGAGTGCCGCGTGTTTGTGCCAAGACCCTCTTCCATAACCAAGACCCCCTTCCATAGCCAAGACCCTCTTTCCTTAGCCAACACACCTCTTCCATAACCAAGGCACATTCGTACAGACAACAGCCCTTTAAAATGACGACACGTCTCGATTTTAAGCTTTCGTGACTGCAGGGATTCATCTTCTTGGTTCTTTCGGTAAAGTCACGTAGAATGGGGACGGCTGCTTGCGTTGTGGCCGAAACGTCGTGAGAATTATTTTATTATGTTAAATATTTATTATTTTATTATTTCCATTTACGTGACTTTACCGAAAGAACCAAGAAGATGACGACACGTCGTGTATTATTGGGGCAGTAATTTCCACTGCGAGATTGCATCAATTTGTCGGCGAAATCCCACGGGCATCCAAGACTACTACAACAACAAAAACAATAAGCAAGTGTACAACAGAGGCATGCTTCATGCAGGGTCAATAAGCAATGGTTTTAATGAACGAAAACCTCGAAACAAGATTAGCAATGCACGATTAAGCAACGTGGTGGAACACCGCCGCGCTTTTACGTAACAGCATCGTGAAGTGATGCTATTTTTTTCCTCCGGATGACGATTGCTTGTGTTGCGATCGAAAAGTCGTAGTTTCTTATTTGTTGTTCATTTATTTGAACCTATCTACGTGACTTTACCAAGAATATCGTGAAGTTATTCACTTCATCCAACGGAGCCGTCTGTCAAGCTCACGACGACGAATTCGTTTCGCTAAAACAACGTGGCAACGACAGCCGTACCCACCGCAACAACACGATGTTTCGATTTAAAGCTTTCGTGACTGCAGGGATTCATCTTCTTGGTTCTTTCGGTAAAGTCACGTAGAATGGAAGTAATAAAATAATAAAAACAAAACATAATAAAATACAATTCTCACGACGTTTCGGCCACAACGCAAGCAGCCGTCCTCAGGTGAAGAACAGGTCTGTCGAAACGACAGAGTCTGAATGATGTTGCGAAGACAACACGATCAACAACAACAACAACACACAATTGTGACAATCTTGTTTATCGAGTTGGCGTGTGAGCTTAAGTGAATTCACAGCGCGACGTGGCCGCGGACTTGTTTAACGAGGGCTTAAGGAAACTCTTTGACGGAACGAGGGGCACGAAACACTTCAGCCGTCAGTGTAACAACACGACAAGAAAGTTACAATCCCCTCACAATCCCGTCACCTCGGGGTGTTCCACACAGTCGAATTCGATGCCCAGCTTGTGTAGGAACGACTCCAGTTGACGTCTCAGATTCTCAGACGCCATGGCGAGCAAGTCTTGAAGCGTGGATATTATTGTTGTTTAGCTAGATATGTCTGGTTAACTGTGAATTGTAACCGTTGTTGTTGTTGTTTCGAACGAACGGAAATTTAATGTTGAATGGGTTAATAGAAATCAATTAAAGTGACTTCCCCCACCCCCCTCCCTTTTAGCGTTGCTCTGACGTGGCCTCAAAGCGGGTGGTGGGAAACCGACCCGGATGTATACACGTGTGGCACCGGCTTTAACACACAACAATAATAATAACATTCACTCCTCTATAACATTGACGCATCCGCGAGCGTGTCGTGTACATATTGCACGGCGGCAAAACGACGTGGGTGTTATTTTAATCGAGCTGACCCGTTTTGGTGATTTGGGGCTTGTTCTACCAACTCGTGACAGACCGGAACGTTTTATCGCGCGAGGCTTTTTTTTTCCCGACGGAACTTTGTGAATGTTGCCCCCCCCCCAACTTGCGCAGAGGCTCGCGGGACTTTAAAGATGGCGGCGCCCATTGCGGCTCGGTGCTTCGCGAAGTGAATCTGAGATTTTTTTAAATTTCCAAACTTTAAAAAGATAAACTCTTTATTCGAGTGAACTCCGCGCCGAGGTAATTTGCTTGAGTGTCGACTGACGCCTACAATGCCGGTTTTATTTATTATTTAGCTTTAAAGGCCGATATGTGACAGTCACACCGCGAGTTTATGGGAGACGCGGGGGGGTCAGTCAGAGTCAATGAGAGCGGAAAACCACGACTCGACTCCCTCGTCTCTTTAGAGCACAGCTATTGCGCACAGCTTACGATGCATAGTATAAGAAGTTCAGTGCAATGCGCCCGAAGAAGTGATACCTTCCGGTGCTGCTTGATATAAAATCAGCCACGCTTGTTGCATAATTCTGTCCAGTGGTATATTAACACGGCACTCACTGTACGATGCAAATACGTGGGTTGAGGTCATTTAATCACGTGAAATATGATTGCTATGCAACTCATTGCATTGTTGTATATGTATTGTCCAGCCATAGAGTTACCAATCACATTCCACTATTATACACAATTTTGTCGTATTGCATTGCCCTCTGAAGCCAATCGCAACCCATAGTACAATTGTGAACTTCTGTGCAGTGTTCCTTAATCACGTATTATTAAATTATAGAGTTAAATGCAGTATTAACTTCACCACGCATTGCTATACAATCATACGGTGACTGCATGATACGATCATGCAGTTCAGTACGGTTGGCTACGTACGGTGCGAAAAAGCTTCAACATTAATACAGTTTTCAAGTTTTGTGCGATTTGCAAAATGACTGGACAATTTTCTATAAAGTGAATGATTTTTTTTAATATCACGACGTTTCGATCGCAACACAAGCAATCATCATCATTGTTATTTTTTCTATCTACGTGACTTTACCGAAAGACCCAAAGAATATGAATTCCTGCAGTCACGAAAGATTTTAAGTCAAAATTAATGTACATTCACTGTTATGGTTGAAAAATATTGCAATGAACGTTATGCATTTTACCTAATTTTCGTTCAAATAGTTGTCAAATAAACTACAGTGCATTATAATCGTAATTGGATATTACACTGAACTTTTATTTACATAGCAGCTTTCCGCCTCTTTTTTTCTCCTGATGACGATTGCTTGTGTTCCAATCGAAACATCGTGATATTTTATTATTTTTCATTTACTTTATTTTTTTATAGTTTTTTTCGATCTACGTGACTTTACCAAACGACCCAAAGAATGTGTACATTCATTGTCCAGTTCAGTGCAATGCTGTTAAATTCATTATACACTATACGTGCCATTTAACGAAAATGGGGTTAACATATATACGGCTCCACAAGATACTACGGTATATCCTTAAATTACACCAAGTTCAATCTCATTCCCAGCGCGCAGAGGCGGTAGAAACATTTTAAGAAGCATCCGGTACGTGAAAGGGTGGGGGGTGGCGTGGCCGCTTGGTCATCATGCAGGCTTTGTGTCTTCAGTCCTTATCCTACAAGCTAATATTGCTACAGTGTGGGTGTCTCTAGTCTACAAGCAGGTATCTCAATGTAATAAGCAGGACGTGTCTTGCAGAATTAGAATTATCTACTTGCATATTAGGAGGGCATTGTCCAGGCGATACATTTTCATGGGGAAGGGGCACCTGCCCATGCGAAATGCTTTATGTCTACGAGAACACATTTTATGCAAATAACGGATACAGCCCTTTGTTAGATTAAGGGCTCCCCGCACTATTCGGGTTACAGGCATTATCCATAGTTCCCCACCAGTGCAGATTGATCAAGGGGAGGGGGGTGCCTGACCAGTTTTCATATGGACCTTAGGTCGTTGGGTTTATCATGACCCTCATTGAGTGAGTTTAACAATTCAAGGTGAAGCATTGCCACCAGTTAAGCTTCAGCTCTGCTACTAATATCCTCGGCTCATTTCCTGTATCTATGTCTGCAGCAATTTCAACAATGCCATTGAATAACTCTGCATCATCCAATTTGTTAGGCAAATATTTTAATCTGTTGTTTATGCAGAATGAACGTACGTGCGAGATTGATTAAGTGCGCCTGGAAAACTGGGGTGGTCCAAGCACACAGAGCACCTGCCTGGTGCTGCAGGCACCCAACTATGCAACCCCATCCACAGCCTTCCTGCTTCCCAAGTGGCTTTCGACATATGGCAACAACTGAGGTGTGATATTTTTACATTTTCTTCGTTTGCGTCATTTGATTTTGGTCTACATCTGCCAGGATGTTCAATGTAGGTACTATAAATATGAAAAGCAACCCGTGAACATTTTTTTTTCAGCCATGGAAATCAAATGAAAACATCAGCAAAATAAATGTGGCCAAACATGAGAATCGCAAGAAGAAATCTGAGACTCAAGTTGTGATGATTCGACAGAAAATGAGGGTATCTGAACTTGCAAAAGCAATGAACAAGGATATTGGTGAGTGCTTTAACATCTTGGCTTTGCGTAACTAACATTGTAATGCACTGATATACCTTCATGGTATTTTTAGGTGCATTGTCATGTGTCACAGTGAAATTAAACGACTTGAATTTTCAAACACAGACCATGTTTACGAAGCTCTGCTGCATAGAGATGACCTGAATGTTGAACGCATGAAGCCGAGCACTTTTCTCAATGAGGCTGTCATCAAAGATGTAATCAAGAAGTCTGGTATGAAGTACATGTCAGAGAAGATAAAGGTTGAGAAGATAAGAGAAAACAAAGATGCAGTGAAAAGGTATTCCGAAGTTAAATATCACTTATATAATGCTGATATGGGGAGATGTTCATTCAGTCAGATGGCTTATTGCTTAGGATGACAATGATGGAGTAACCTATACATATCATGGATTATATAATTACAGCTGTGGAGTACACAGCATTCACTTAGACATATACAATTCTAGTTGGGAGTCATCTCAGCCAATTAGCTTGCAGAGGTTGATAACAATAACTTCCATTTTGTGGCGAATTTTGGCAGTGATTTTTATTGGGCAATACTATTCCCTGCCATAGGAATGTGGATTTTCACCACTGGCTGGCTCATAGTTGTAAAGAGGAGGTGAGTATCACCCCACACTCAATTGAGCAAGACACCATCTTGCTTGAAGAATCTGCAGTCAATTTATCTTAAGGGCATTTACGTGTGGGCTGGGGCACTTTAACAAAATCATGGTTGCTGAGCAAAGGCCAAAAACGCATCTAGCGGCAAATAACATTTTTTTAAAGGTGTAATGAATGAGCATTACATGTTTCTTTAATTCAGCAAAGTTATCATAACTTGATAATAGAGACAATGGGAGGGATTTCCAGAATCGAGTCATGCAAGGAAAGATGTATGGATGAGATGAAACGGGTCATGCATACATGCATCTGTCCATCGCTTGTGTGTGTTCCGACACGCAGCCCTCCTGCAGATGCCTCAGCTCTGGTGCCGCGCCCACCCATCATCACTATCATGGGCCATGTGGACCATGGCAAGACCACGCTGCTCGACAGCTTGCGCCACACGCAAGTGGCAGCTGGGGAAGAGGGCGGCATCACGCAGCACATCGGAGCATTCCACGGTAAATTGGGTTCTTGTGATGTTTGTTATTGCGTCACTCTCCAATCTCACTGGCATCAACCGCTTTGTGAGAACTCAATAGCCGAGTATTATCAAAAGACTGCACCTCTCCCCTAAAACGAATGTGGATTTTAATCCACTGGCTTGTTCATATGAGCAGCACTACACGATAAAAATTTCCCTCCCTTTATTACTGCTAATCCTGCTTCCTCCCTTCATCACTGCTAATCCTACATAATACACGAGCATAATATGACTTTGAGACCCCCCCACCACCTACACATTCCACAAGGAGTGACTAATCCCATATCTGCATTTTCCATCAATATGCTTAATTCCGGTGTTGATATGTAAACTCCTTTGTCAAGGCGCTCTCCTCCCCCCGACCCAGCTTAAATATACGCTGCCAAGCTTGGCGTTGTTCATTGGGACACTGTCTTTCCGACAGCTCTGTTTCTTCACCTGAGGACGGCTGCTTGTGTTATGGCCGAAACGTCGTGATAATTTTTATTTAATGTTTTATTTTTATTATTTTATTATTTTTCTTCTACGTGACTTTACCAAAAGAACCAAGAAGACAGCATTACACACATAGTTGAGCATTGAGACACTTGCACCTTTGTTAATTTCATTTGACTATATACACGTGCATGTGATACATATATAATAAATGATGTATCCTCATGTTTACTTTTTAAAATCACATTTGGGAAGCAGTCCCAAAGGCCCATAGCATAAATGATATAATGGATAATATTGAACACATTTCTTGAATTGAGTTAGCTAATAGCAACTTTGTCTATGACCAAATTATTTAGAATGTGCTCAATCTTAGTGCTTAGTTGGGTGACCACCATGCATAAAACATGTCTCGTATTGAGTAGTTCAGAGAAATCGATTGTACTGTACCATGCTACAACAACTATGCTCCCCACCTTCACCAACCCGCACTGACCAGCGTAGTAAAGCATGGTCAGATATTCTCCATGACATGTACGATGTGGAGAGGCATTGACAATGCATGCACGCATTGATGCAGATGTATCTGCAATGCACTTAACACGCGTCATCCTTTCAGCTTAATGGCTTCAGACTCTGGTGACCTGTGGCTACATCTACATGCCTTAATGTATGCCGCCCAATCTACACCATGAATATTGCATTGTAGTTTATAATCATTACAGTAAAGTCATTTTTTATCTTTACAGAAAGGCTTTACTGAGTCTCAAGACACTTTTATAGGAGGGTCTTGCATCAGCACATGTAGCGGTTCGCACGCTGTGCCACAAACCTGGCCACCCAATTTCGATTCCTGTTCGCAGCCAACACCAGAGACGATTATCCGAACTCGTCCTGGGCCTCCCTAGGTCGACTCAGCCTTACATGAGTACCTGGTGTGATGTGTAAACATCGCCACGAGGGAGATGAAGGTGGTCGGGCGTGGTGCTGGCCACCCACCCCCTCATGTGCCGTGCCAGCTTTCATAGGTGCTCGCTTACAGCATTTGCCCCAAAGTCGGTTCAGGCTATACGGAGGATCTTTGTCTCTTATATGCACATATTCGTGCTTATATGACCGTGTCTGTGACCTATGTCTGACCGTTAGTGGCACTGCCCTCCGGGGAGTACATCACTTTCCTGGACACACCTGGCCACGCCGCCTTCTCAAACATGCGAATGCGCGGCGCTCTCGTGACGGACATCGTGGTGCTGGTGGTCGCGGCTGACGACGGCGTCATGGAACAGACTATCGAGTCCATCAAATATGCTAAGGCAGCCAAAGGTGAGAAATTCACACAGCGTTGTGACGGGCCAAGACAGCATTTTATGATGCCAATCACTTAGTCGCTCTGAATTCGCTCTCTCCCAATCTCCTCTTAACACTTTCCTGTTGCGAGACATCTGCAAGTTGCAGGGTGGGTCTTGTTCAACGCTGAATTTCCGACCTGAAGACGTACCGATGAAGTTTATTCATTTTAGTTTTTCTTCCAATTTTGTCCGGATGACGTACACGTACCCACGTCATCGGAACGTACGTATACATCATCGATAGAAAAACTGATGACGTACATCTATGTACATCTATGTACGTCATCGGAATGGGAAAGGGTTAACTGACAGATGGATTAATTGTGTGATGCGGTGTGTTTTGGTACTAATATGGGCATTGCATAATAATGCTTTTGCTGTGTTGTATGTGTGCATGACATCATTACAATGCTCACATAACGAGGTGCCTGCACCTATAACTGTAGGCTGCACAAGTATGTGCACTTTATTGTGTTCGTATAAAAAAATTCCACGTTGACGTTACAAAATTTTACGCGTGCTTCTCTGTTTCTACACTCAAGACACAGCACATGCTTACAGGCATCTTACATATTTAACATCAGTTGTTACACGATGACCAATAATGAGACTGGATTCACATTTTCCACTCCTTTCTTTCTCTGGTCATGTCAGTCGCTTCCTCCAGAACTACTAAGTTAAGTTCCCGATGCCGTGAATCCACCTCTTTCATTGACGGGCTACAACTTCTTGCTCCTTCTGCTTAGCAGTGCAAGGCAGTGATGGTTACTTGTTGGCCTCCTTCTTTGCTACATTATCACTGACCCTCTTTTGCCTCATTTTGATCTTAAATTTACAACAAATCGCGATGGCATGAAGACAGCCAGAGCGGCAAGTGCGTTGTTGCGTGTGACGTGCCTCTCTCTTGGCTCGTAGTGCCCATCCTCGTGGCGGTAAACAAGTGCGACAAGCCAGGCGTGGACCCACAGCACGTCAAGCACGAGCTCCTGGCGCACGAGGTGGTGTGCGAGGAGCTCGGTGGCGACGTGCAGGTGGTGCACGTGTCTGCGATCAAGGTGCGGAACCGCGCGCGTGAAATGGCTCGACAGCGAGTGCAGTGATTGTATGCCACCTAGGTTCTTAAATTAAAGCACGCGTCGTTGTCGTCATCGTTGTCGTCGTCGTCGTCATCATCACCCTAACCCAATCGTACCACCCCTGCGCCCTGCGCCCAGTCATGCTTTTGTTCCTTTTCCCATCTTATTCCCCTTCAACGGAATCATCTCCCACTGCACATAAAACAATCATCTTCAGGAATTAGTTTCTTTCTTAAAACCCATCTCTTCTCCCTAGCCCATCCTGCTACCGCTACTCCCTGCCCACGCCCCCCCAGCTCCACCCCAACCACCTCCTTGACCTCTCCCGCTGTTCTCCTGTCACCATAACTACACCACCATTTTGACTAACCCTCACTCTTTAGCTCAACCACTCATCTTGTGTATTTTATTATCATAAGTTTTAATGTGACTTCCCTGTTCACGAGGGTTCCCCTCAACGTGTCAATTAAATTACGCGATACTCTGGTAACGAACACAGGTTTCGCCGAAGATATCCCACAACTAGCTGAACACTGTCTCAAGAACACCTATTTCTTGTGGAAAGGTGATTTTATAAACAAAAGGAAGGAGTGGCAATGGGCTCTTCTTTGTCTCCTGTGATTGCGAATTTGTACATGGAATATTTTGAAGCAAAATCAATAGCTCCAAGCACACAAACCCTCTGCTTGGTTTAGATATGTGGATGACACATTGGTGGTCTGGCCACATGGCAAATATACACTTAACGAATTTCGAAATCATCTCAACTCCAAAACCCATCCATCCAGTTCACCATAGAAATGGAAGTTGACATAACTCTAACATTTCTGGATATTCTGCTCGGGCATGAACGAAATGGTAAAATATCACACAGCGGTTACCGATATCTGAATGCAGAGTCACACCGTCACCCCGCACAGAAATCCTCTCTCATCAAGATGCTCATACATCGGGCGAAGAAATTGTCAGTTGGTGATAGTTTGAGAAGTGAAATGAAACATGTTCAAGCAGCGCTGCAATTGAACGGTTACAATGATGCACAAATCAACAGGGCACTGAATGCCAAAACCAAATCGAGTAACACGAGAGTTGAAACTGACCAAGTACAGTAAACTTTTGATTGCGAGCATATTTCGTTCCGGAGACGTTTGTAATCCAAAGCACTCGTATATCAGTTGTGATCACGTGACGCTCGGCAGACAAAGCGTATACACGTACTACTCGTATTGCAAGACCTCGCTCGTTAATCAAATTAATATTTATTTTAAAAAATAGCTTGTCTTGCAAAACACTCGCAGTCCAAGTTACTCGCAATCCAAGGTTATACTGTAATTAAAACTATTAAAATACCGTACATTGCGGGAGTAATCGATAAACTAGTCAGATTTTTGTGAAAAAAAACATCCGAGTCAGATATGGCACGGTCCATAACATACGAAAACGAATGTCTGGTCCTAAAGATGTATTTCCGAATCGATCAACAGAAGGTGTATATCGGATTAATTGCACTTGTGGCACATGCTATGTTGGTCAGACAGTACGAATGATCAGCAGGAGACTAAAAGAACACCAAAGAAATATGATATACTCCCAGATACAACTGTCAGCAGTGACAGAACACGCATCCCAACAAGGACACTCAATTAATATTGATAATGTCGAAGTTCTGTGCAAAACTAGTTACTACTGGCCAAGACTAATTCGAGAATCTATCGAAATTGAGAGAAATAACAAGTATAACCCGTAAAAACAAAGTTTTTCACTATAAATCCTTTATATGCGTGGCGGCTAGAGTCCTCTCGTTTTCTGGCTTGAGATAGCTGCCACCTATGGGTCAGATGATTGCATGGCAGCATTAAGCAATTGGTAATTAAATATAATATTTTTGTCCTAAAAAGTGTAAAATTTTGGAAAAAACTATTTCACGAACATTAATTGTCACGCACAACGAGTCTGTGTGGAAAATGTCAGCTCGATTGGATCACGGGAAGTGGGTTAAAAAACGACCGAAAGATTTGCACGGTCTTAAGCAAGCAAGCAAGTGAACTTAATATAAAGGATTTAAAAATAGTTGTAACCGTTCGGACAGCTAAAGGCTTCGTGCTGCTTGGAAGCAAATCACCAAATAATACATTGTTTAAATGGATGCCTATACATGTCACCATATGTCAATGGGGATTACCTGTGCACAGGTACTGCTATTTTAGTGGACACAAACGACAGAAGGTGCAAGGGACAATGTGCATGCATAATGTGCACGCATAATGTACGTTGATTGCCATATTAATAACCCAACCCGTAATGGAAACCCATTGTAAATTATATGCATTCATTAATCCCCCCCCCCTTCGCACTTAAAGGGCTCAGAATTGACGTCATCACATCTATTCTTCTATTTAAGGAACGAAACAGGAGGATTTCTTTATGCTCGTAATTACTGGCGAAACGTCGTACTCAGATTGTAAATGTTCTAGATTTGCTCTCCAACACACCGGCGTGCTGTACCAGTAATGAATTGGCACGTTCTGTTTACATGACAAACCTTACTAATTGGCTGTGTTAGGTGGTGGCGGGTTTAATGACACATTTATATTCATGCCATCCCCACAAAAAACTATATTATTTATGTTTGCTGTAAAGCGCCTTGGAATAAGGTGCTATTTAAACCTATATAAGATAAATGATAATATTCCGGTAAATGGGCTAGATGAGTCAAGGGCCTCCCCAAGTGATCGTCATCTCTCACAGTCCTGAGATGTATAAATCCGCCGAGCACCAAGACAGAAGTTGGTTTTGTCGCTCTGTATGTGCGGCGGACGTCCTCTCAGGTGCGTTCCCTCCCTTGCAACGTCATTCTTAGTCTTGACCACCAGCCATCATCCTATCCTAGCCCAGCTACGTTTTTTTTACAATTATAATGATATCCTTAACCGTGCATATTATTCTATAATCCAAATGTGACTTTCAATGCAGTTCCAATGTCTCTAAATGCAGTTCCAAGCATGCACCTTTCCATGTTTATTTTGAAAACGTTCCATTATTTTCACACTTTACCTTTTCTTTTCTTAATGTTCAGGTTCATGATCCGTATTTCTCGTGGATGATTCACATTTGTAAGAATAAGCTGCCGAGGACAAATGCATGTTCTAAACATTTCTGCATTTTCCTGATTTTTTTTCGCTTTTTGTATTGACTTTTGAATGTTTCATTTTGAATATGTTTATTGTTGACTGTTAATCATTGTGAATTGTTATACATTTGTGTTATGCCTTGCTTGATGAGTCAGATATTCCTTGAAAACTACACTTTTGATATCAGTGGGTTCTTACCTTCTTTAAATCAAGCTTTGATAATGACGATAAAAATATATCTAATATACAGCCCTTTGTGGATACACTGCCAGTTATGGTAGTTCTTTGACAATAATAATTACATTTTATATAGCGTCATTCATGCTTAACTGCAGCTCACAACACTGTACAAGATGACAACAAAAAACAAATCTCATATTATTCCCATGCTGGTCGTACGAGTTCAGGAATGGGACTGCCCAGGACTGTTTCAGATATCACTCGCCGCTGATGTTGCTGATAATGGAAATTAGTTCACGTGGTTCATATGACAGTACAATGGAAATTAGTTCATAGCACAGTACGGTGACCACTGATGATTTTTTTAGTTTTTAGCGAGTGGAAAAAAAAAAAATTGTCACACCTGACACTTGCATGGCGCTAATCACATTCCCACGGTAAATAAATCCCGTCGGCCCAATCCTTGTGGTGCAGTGAAGGGAGCTTGTTGTTGTCTCCAGGGAGAGAACCTGGCGGCGCTGACGGAGGCGATCATGGCACAGGCCGAGGTGATGGAGCTGAAGGCCGATCCCGCTGGCCTTGTAGAGGGCACCATCATCGAGGCGAGCACCAATAAGGGCAAAGGGTCAGCAATTTTGTATTCATACCTAATTGGTTCATGTAATCACACAATATACTAGTGGTGCTGCAATAACTACAATCCGAAACAGTATTTGTTTCTTGGTTCGAATCTCGGCCTTGAATTTTGACAATTCCTCGAATTGCAAAGGGTAGAATTTCTGCATGCCCGATCGAGCACATTGCACTTGGCTCGCATCCTTTCCATTTTGCCTATGCCGTAGTTGGACAACGTCACTACATTTGCTACCACCACCTCTACCATTGCCATCGCCACCGCTTCCACCGCTATCACTACCGCCACCATTGCCACCGCCACCTACACAACCACCGCTTCACCGCCACCACCTCCGCAAACGGCCACCACTTCCGCATCCACCACCGCTACCGTCACCAACATCACCACAACCAACACCAAAGCCACTACCGCCACCTCTTGCGTCACGCAGGCCCGTGGCGACGGTGATGGTGCATCGCGGCACGCTGCGGCGAGGCTGCGTGCTCGTGTCGGGCCTCTCCTGGGCGAGGGTGCGCGGGACGTTTGACGAGCGCGGCCGCCCCGTGGCCGCCGCCACCCCCAGCATCGCCGTGGAGGTCGTGGGCTGGAAGACGCTGCCCTCGGCCGGGGACGAGGTGCTCGAGGTGGAGTCCGAGGTGAGTGGCGCCTCCCTGTAACGGTAGCACGAGCGACGTTGCTGCGCACGCACGCCCGCACACCCGCCCGCCTGCCGCTCCCACGAACACGTGAAGAGTCACGCTCGTTGTGCCTGCGTTTCTGCCTGTGCGGCTTTGTCGGCAATTACCTGACTTGCAAGCGTGTACGCGTGCATGTTGAACTCCTTTCGCGCACCGTCATGTAGCCAACCGTGCTAATCGGAGGTGCGGGGGGGGAAAAGGACACAATGTTTTGGTTCATCGTGTGGAATCAACTCTTGTGCTCATGGCACATACCAAATCGTGCATGAGAATTGTGGCCTTTCTACAACATTTGCAGATGATATGCAAATTACATGCTGTTGTGATATTTGGGTGAACGGGTCATATTCAATTCCACAAATGAGACAAATTATACAAATCGGACAGTGAAAATTGTACACGGAATTAATTGATTTCTAAATTGAATTGCAGCACTAAATAATGATACATTATCCAGTCCAGTGTGGGGGATCAAGAAGTGGTAATTAATAGTTATATAATAAATAATTGGTGCTATAATTTCTGGAGAGGAGCAAATTGAATATCATTATGTTAACTCTTCGAAATGTGCGATTGAACTTGAAGATATGACCCTTTCTTAAAAGCTTTGAATGGGTTCTCGCTTGGTAAAATAAATCCAATAAATCAATATATTCCCAGTTGTATTATTAGGCTACACGACCCGTGTTCAGGGAAGTTGTTTAATTTGTGTCTTTGATATGACCCAATAACAGTGATTTATGCGGCAACTAGAGTGTGGGGTGCATAGGGGATTTTTTTGTTTACCAAAATCGGTGACAAGACCAGCCAATGATTAATGTCCAATCGTGTGGACTTGTTTTTGCTGATTTATGTATAAAAAAAAAAAATCTGCAACATAAGTTTCCATTGAACTAGACTGTCATCGCCTACTTTAAAGCCCATTGGAAAGGCTCGTCGCTACACATGAGTTACGATCGCCATTGATGAGACATCGCAGCACTCTCAGATGGACCCACCACGACATCTATGTTGATAAGTCGTTGCTGGAAAATTGTGATATCGCATGCCACGTGACGGCACACCGTCCAACAGATGGTATTACTTGGCTCTCCTTTGCATTATCGCTCATATTTACATGCTATACATCAGGCAGTAAATGGAGGTGAGCAGTAGTCGCAGCATATCAATGTATATACACCCTATATATACTGAGACAAGTGCTGTTAGTTCCCACCAAGTCAAGCTGGAGATGGTGTGGTTAGTACCACCTTGAGCCGCCTTTGTCTCCCCACTGCTGATGGTTTAAACACCTCCCAGGTACTACTTTAAGGCTGACTAATCATAGGGGAATATTCAGGACTGCTTCATGTATCACTCGCAACTGATGTTGGCCATAGCCGGGAATCAAACCAGTTCAACGGACTGATTGCACAGTGCGCTAACCACTGCGATACCACTCTTCACATCAACAAGAACAACCGCCATTCGCCACTAAGTGGCGGTGATGTCACCACGACGCTTGTGCCAGGCTACGTGCACCTTGAGGCCACGTAGCCTGGCACAAGCATCGTGGTGACGTCACCGCCACTCCTCACATATACACACACACACAGCAAATCATACAATAGCATACAAATTACCAGACTAAAGCACCTTTCGGGCTCTCGGAGTTGAGCGTTATTGCCTGAGACACTTCGTCAGTCTCAGACACCGTTGGGATTTGTCGGGGTTTATTATTATTGCCCAAAGATTTCACAAAATCAAGCAAAGGCACCTTCAGGAGTAATAATGCCCGAGACTCAACGGTGGTACAGTGGTTAGCACACCGTCTATGAACCCAGCAACTCCAGTTTGATTCCTGGCTGTGGCCAACACCAGTGCTGTGTGATTTGTATGTATGTTGAGCTTCTTTCTCACCGTACGTAGCCAACCGTGCTAATCGCAGGTACGGTATCAGTATCAAGGAGCGGTATAGCCGTGGCAAAAATCGTCTCGTAATCAAAAACACGCGTAGCAACGTGACACGGCCGCCGTTTGTTTTATTATCGTAGTTTGTTATTGCACCTTAACGAAGGCGCGCGCCAAGGAGGTGGTGGAGTGGCGCACGGAGATGGAGAGGCTGGAGCGGCAGGAGGCCGAGGGCGAGGCGATCCGCGCCCGGCAGGAAGATGACCGCGAGGCGTACGTGCGGCTGCGCGAGGACCTCTCGTCGCTGAGCAGGCGCAAGCAGAAGGTGGCCAAGGCGCTGGCGTACAAGCAGGGGGAGCAGCAGGCGGCTGCCGGCAGGGCCCTGGAGGAAGCCGAGCCTCGCCTGTCGCTCGTCGTCAAGGGTGAGCGGTTGCGCCGGGGGAGGAGGCCCTCGCCATCAAACGACCGCTCCCCGGTTTGCGCAGAGCGGCACACGGTGATGGGATGCGACGAGTTGACCAAAAAAGCGCAGTGCGTCCATCTGTAATGCCGCGGTGGTGAGATTTTATCTGCCTCGCCTGGTACGCAGGAGGTCGTAGGTTCGATCCCGACCGCGTGTTCTCCCCGAGGTCACATGGATTTTTCTCTGGGTGCTACAGTTTTTTCCTCCACGTTTAGAATAATGTGTATACATTTCCACGTGATAATAAGCCACTTCGTTGAGCTATCATTTGTGGCTAGGTCGCTCCTGAAAGAGCAACAGCTCAGTGGGCCTTATTTGGTAATATAAAAATTGTTTTAGTAACGCTGCCATAAAACAAAGTGCCATTGCCAACAATGCTGACTATTTATGTACGTATGTTTAACTGCTTTTGCACAGTACGTAGTCAACTGCGCTAATCGGAAGTGCGGGGGAAGGACAACAAACTAAACACAAAAACCAGTTCTAAAGAAATGGGTTTTCAGTGTAGGTGATTTAAAAGTGTGCATAGCTCCAGTGGATTCCTAATATCGGAAGGAATCGCGTTCCTGACTACCACGGAAGCGCATCTGAAAGCGTGCAGTGCGGTGTTTTTTTCCCCTTTTAAGGCAACAGTGTTATAGATGAGTGCGTTTTTGTTGTTGTTTGTGCTTGTGCAGCACTGCCAATGCAGTATTACCAAATAATTTGTTTAATGGTTTCACAGATAAGACTGAATCGTCGTTCTCTGATGCTGATTCACCATATGGCTTTCACCATATCGGACCTTTGCCTTTTAACAACTCATTCGATATGTGCCTTACCTCATTAGATCCTGGAAGCTAGGCAGGATTTAAACCTCGATAATGCTTGGTCAGGTGACCACCAGGTTTAGAAACAGGTCATAATATAGTTTGTGTGCTGGGCTACATTGTAAGTGGGAGAGAGCAGTGCAGCAAAAATCTTTAGTACCATACTATGCACCCACACCTCTGCTTCCCGCCTTGACCAACCCACACTGACAAGCGTAGTGAAGTTTGATTAAATAACATTCACTCCACCACCGGATGTGGGCAATCCCTCATTCAGCAGTGGATTGACAAAAGCAAGGTTAGAAGAACATTGCTTATGACCAACATCACACAAAATGTATCCGATATTGTCTGATCTTGGAAGCCAAGTAGGATTGAGTCTGCATTGTGCTTTGATGAGTGACCACCATGCATAGAAAACAGGTTGCTAAATCGGCTGCTGTGGGGCCACAGTGTTGGCAGCAGAGGGCAGTGTCAGAAAAGCAATGTCTGCACTATGCTGCTCACATCTTATGCTCTCCCAGCTTTCACCAACCCACACTTAGTAGTAGTAGTAGTAATAGGTTTTTACCCTTTTATCTGGCAACAAAAGTGACACCTTTATACAAGGGATCATGTTTGCATTAACCACAACATTTGCGGTCAAAATGCAAAAGGCCTTTTGGCGTCATCTGGTCCAACACCTTGTGAGACTGGGCTCTAAGAAAAGCTGTCTCGGGTGTGGACCAATCAATTTCAAGGACAGTGCATACATTATCAGAGTTGTCTTTTTTGTTTGCGTTTTGACCGCAAGTGTTGTGGTTAATGCAAACATGATCCCTTGCATGAAGGTGTCAGTTTTGTTGCCAGATAAAAGGGTAAAAACCTATTACTCTATCTTGCTACTGGAAAATGAGGTCTCATAATGTAAATGCTCAACCCACACTTTTCAGTGTGGTCACATGTGGTCAAATAACTCTCACATCACTCATCTCGCAGTGGGTTGACAACGGGATGTATATGTATGCACAACTCTGGTGGTTTGCTATGGCAGTGGCGCAGTGACACGATTGCGATTAGCCAATGGAAAGACAGTTGACAAATGTGTTGCGAACAACATTGGTCTTGGGAGCACACAACCTTGGGAAGTCATGTCACCTCGGCCGGTGATCTCATTGTTTTTTTCTGTTCCAGTTTTTTCACTGAAGTGAAGCAGCTCGTGTTGCAATCTAAACGTCGTGATCTATTGTTTATTTTATTTTGTCTTTCTACGTGACTTTGCCGAAAGAACCAAAGAGCAATTCCTGCAGTCATGAAAGCTTCAAATCAAGATTAAAGCAGCTTGTTAGATTAGTTCACCTTTTTTGCAACGATGCTTTTTACAATAAAAACAATTGTACACCACCCGTTGCCGATGACAGTTTGCCCTAAAATTTCCCAGATGTCGATTTAAAGCTTTCGTGACTGCAGGGATTCATATTCTTGGATCTTTCGGTTAAGTCGTTGGGACGCTGTCTTTCCGACCGCTCTGTTTCTTCACCTGAGGACGGCTGCTTGTGCTGTAGCCGAAACGTCGTGAGAACTAGATTTTGTTTTATTATTTTATTATTTCCCTTCTACGTGACTTTACCGAAAGATCCAAGAATATTGCCCAGATGGGCGTGTGTGGGAAACAATTGGGCTGCGAGAGGCAGTGCATAGCCTGTGGCCAGTGGTGTAGTCATCAAAGGTAGTGGCTGTACTTCACAAGGAACTATAATTTGGCAACTACTGGAGTGCAAAGGCGTGTGTTTTTAAATAATTATTTAAATAACTGTAAAGGTCATATATATAAGTCGTTATGAACCTACTAAACAATCTTGACTTTTGGCTCAGGTCATAGTTATGCCCAGCTGAGTAAAATGTTTGTCAATGTTTAGACGTGGTGATTAATTAGTGTTATGTTCAGTTTTTACATAAAAATATATGTAGCCAGATTTACGAACTGTAATCCGGTTTTATTGCTGGTCTTTGGAAATTTGTATCTGAACCAGTGCTGGACAGTCCATCGGTTCACTCAGCCATACAATTAAAACGAGTTGCAATGTGACAACATCAGCAAGAGGGAGATAAATGCAGGTCACTGTTTATCCTTCTCGCCACATCAGCCTTCGTGTGCCACACAGGCCATAATTGGCATTCACTAACAGCACTGTCCTGAAAAGCCTGTACGGCTAAATTGATCTGTGTTACATGTAGGTTTGAGAAACGCAGTGAGCGAATTACTATTCAGTGTTGGATGGCTTCTACGCTCTTCACAGCTTCAATGCTCTTCAGTACCCACTCAAGGGTACTGCAGTTTAAAGATGTGCATGTCATTAAACTTATGAAATATATAAGACTTCAATTTAAAGCTTGTAAGTGTAGCTTAACTTGCGCGCAGGTCCGTCGAGAGAAATGTGGGGACCCAGTTCGTGATAATGTTTGGCTGAGGGGCCCCATCCCTTCACATCCTCCGTCACTTTTGTAAAAATGAGAAACTTTTCCTCGGCCAAGGTCGAAATATGTGGCTGAGATATTAAACCACAAAATTGCATTGTAATGTACCCCGACACATTTAGCATTTATCGTAAGAATTGGTTTGATTTCAATGGTATGTAGTGCTTGTTTTTGTTGTTGTTTTGTTGTTGTTGTCGCATCTTTCCAAATATTGCAATAATATGAAACAATCACTGAATTACAAATGTAATATTTGCTTGTAATTCTTTGCACCTCCCCTGAGCTCGGAGTCCATTTGCAGTTGTACCCTCTATCCCCCCTCCCCCACCCTCTCCTAAGGCCTAGTGTGAGCTTGTATTCTGACCACCAAGTGATCACAATGCACACTCTCTCGCAGGTGACGTTGATGGCTCGGTGGAGTCAATACTCAATGTTCTGGATAGCTACGATTGCAACGACGCGGTCAAGATGGACGTCTTGCACTTCGGCATCGGGGACGTGAGCGAAAAAGACGTTCTCTTGGCAGAGACCTTCAGTGGTGCGCATTTCTCTTGTCTTCCTGCCCGGCCCTTTTATTGAGGCCACTGGGTCAACGAATGTCCAGCAACAGTCCTCCACTGTTGATGAACATCATATGCCATTTGTTGCTGATGTTACCTTCTTAATCCTCTATGTTCTATGTGTCTCATCAACTCCATCAGTCCACCTTTTCCGCAGCCGTTCAGTACCTCTCTTATTTTCCACCAACGTTGCCTTTGCTAGTTTAACACCACCTAGGCTTTCACGACCAATATCCATAATACGGGTTATTTATTTTGGGTTAGATGGCGTTAATATATAAATGTGCCATTAAACCCACCACCACCCGATACAGCCAATTAGTAAGGTTTGTCATGGAAACAAAATATGCAAATTCGTTACTTGTACAGCACACCGGTGTGTTAGAGAGCAAAGCCACAATATTTACAATCTGAGCGCGACGTTTCGCCAGTAATTACGACAAGCTTCATCAGGCGACAGCGATATTTGTGGAGAAATCTCCTGTTTCGTTCTTTAAATAGCGGGGTAGATGCGATGGCATCACTGTTTGGTGTCATAAGGCATGCGACTCCGGTTAACTCTCAATTAACGACGTGGGCATAACCCCCACCCTCCTTCCCATTGATTTGATGAATTGATGTGACAGGAGTTCAGGATTCGATTCAAGCTGACTGGATTCGAACCCAGGATGTCATTGCTGCCAGATGAGCCACGTGGCCACCTTGTTTTGTGGCCCGAGCTTTTGGCAAGAATGGCTTTATCTTCTTGGTTCTTTCGGTAAAGTCACGAAAGAACCAAGAAGATGAATCCCTGCAGTCACGAAAGCTTTAAATAGAAATTTAAGAATGGCTTTACGATGCAGTTATCTCGCGTAAGTAACGATGCGGTGTGATTTAATGTGCGCAGGGACGGTGTACGGGTTTGGCGTGAATGCCAACAAAGTGGTTATGCAGCTGGCTGAAAAGAAGAACGTACCCGTCAAACTCCACAAAATAATTTACAGGCTGGTGGATGACCTGAAAGCCGAACTGGACAGCAAGCTGCCGCTGATGACGGAGGAGGTAGTCGTAGGTGGGTGGCCTGTGCCTGTCAACTGAAGTCCTGGTGTGTCATTTCTCGTTTTGTAAGCATCGCATCGGACTGGACTAATGTATGGTTCTCGCTCACCGTGTGTGTAATGCATTTTTTGCGCACAGGCAGTGCCACTGTCCTGGCCAAGTTCGATGTCACTGTGGGCAAGAATGAAGTTCCAGTGGCAGGCTGCCGCATTAAGAAGGGCCGATTTGATCGAAATTTTAACTTCAAGATCGTCCGCAACAACTACGAGACTATTTGGCAAGGTAAATAAAGCATTGGGTGCACTCGTAGATGCATCTGTGTTGGTTAATATAATGCACTATACCTCGTATATGAACTCGTCAATTTCACATGCTGTCGCGTTAAAATGTGTTCTGCCATAATGGGCCAAAACTCGTCCAACTCACTCATCCATGCCTCCTCACTTCCCCATCTCCCCCTGCTTTAAACCTTCCCTCCATCCTCCACAGCAAACCCAATTTCTTGACTTTAGTCGTTAATCACAAAGATTAATTGGACACTCCCAACCACTCTCCTAATGAGAAGTTTAAACCAAATGATGCCATTTCCTCCCTAGGAAGGCCTCACTGAGTCTCCAGTCTCTTTCTGTAGGGTCTTGCATTGGGATATTTGACCAATAGCGTTAATGACTATTTGACAAGTGGGAGGAAACCAGGGTAGCTAGAGAAAACCTTTCTATACGAGGGGGCAATACCCAAACATCCACACAGTTTAAATCTAAGAATCTGGTGCTGTATTGCCATCTGCTGGCTATTTCGCAGCATTTCCTTACAAATTTTATTTTTCTCACAAAGATTTGAAAGTCATTCACCATTGTTTTGCCCGTTTGCCTCCTCAGGGAAGTTGTCATCACTTAAGCACCACAAGGATGACGTGCAGGAGGTGAAGACAGGCATGGAGTGTGGCGTGGTGATGGATGATGATGATGCCGACTTTCAAATCGGGGACAGCATTATCTGTTATGAAGAACAGAAGGTTCCTCAGCAGATACAATGGAAACCTCCAGGGTTTTAGAAACGCACCGTCCCCCAGAATGTATGATTATCGAAATATTAAAAAGTGTATTGCTTACTTGGTAATGCAGGCATCAATGCAATTCTGTTAGGTGGCCATGTGTGTTAAAGTTGTACAAAGGGGTTGTTTTTTGCACTTCCATGCACATGCTTGCACACTAATTTGCTTTACCTAACTGAATTCTCAAAAAGGCAATCTCCCTCGCATGCATAGAAAATGTTCTGCTCGTAGTCACTGCTATCCTTTCATAGCACGAGCATGTACCATGCTATTGCGTAACTGTTACAATGTTTCACGGGAGTATCAAGTGCTATTAGTGGTAATGCTATACTTGTAAAAATTGCATTTCCTCAAAAATGAGCAGTGCGAGACTTAATTTGCAGACCCAGCATGTTTTCTGCATCTGTGTGCGATGGAAGATGTGTTCCAAAATTGTATTGGTGGAGAAATAATAGCATAAGTATAAATGTAAAAAAATATTAACCGTTACTTATTTGGTGATGACATAGTCATCATAGCAACCAATGGAAAATGAACTGCAGGAATGATGGAAGACGTTAATAAAGGCTGCAAGTAGGGCTCGAGATAAATATAAGCAACACGAGTCATCCAAAAAGTTCACCTTAATTGAAGATATTTATCAGGAGGGACATAACTGAAATGTACATCAGACTACAGGTATCTTGGGTAGGATATTGAAGGTAGTCTCGCATACAAATTGTTTAAATAAAGAAGTTCTTGAAAACAGGTTTGGGTACTTTTGTAAAACTGAACTCTTAATGAAAAACATGGCAAGAAATCTGCATCAGTTGACAGTAATTCTGATTTCCTGGATTGTTACTCTGACTTGTTGGATATTGTCATTATGTTTGATGTCGTTGCATATGAAACGTTATATCTAATTGCGAAATTTGGTTGTGAGGATTGTTCAATTTAACGGTGAGCTGACACAATAATAACGGGTGCGTTAAAAAGTTGCGCACGTGACAATTTTGGATTATGCCCGGTGGTGAACGGTTGTTTAATGACATTGTCAGATCAGTACGTGGTCTAACCTAACAATCAATTATGAATCAACTTGGCGATGTTCCCAAGAAGAACATGTTTAATTAGCTTTGGCCTAACGCGTCATGAACATTGATAATACTGTATGAAAAATATGAACAGTGGACAAATCAGCATGGAAAGGTACATGCTTGGAATTATACGGAGAGGAAAAGAACCTGGATTTAGAGAACAAACGGAGACATTTAAATAGGCTTGGGCAGGACACAACTAGAATGATGATCTAGAATACTGATGGTGTGGCGGCCAAATGAAGGAACGGGGCTGAGGTTATTGACTGCAAAGATGGAGTCATGAAATCAGCTCTTGTAAGCACTAAATGTATTGTATCACAAGGCCATGATAGATGACAACCGGTTGGGTAGTCCTTCATACATCAGTGGATAGCTCATGACCAATAACATTGTGTTGAAGATGAGAAACGTACATATGTTTAACGTTTTTTTTAAACGACATGTACGATCAGCCTGTATCATATTATCTTGTAAAATTATGTGTACGTGTTGACATTGCGACTGTAAAAATACTGATTTCATGTTTGCTGCTGAGGGCAGTATATAAAAAGTAATATATTTTCTAGAAATATGAAACTGTCATATCAGATAATTGGCTTTCCTAGTTTTACATTTTAGAAATGTGAAAAAAAAATCCCATGTAATTCAATATATGCCAAACACATACAAGACTTAAAAATACATTTTGCTGCCCGTTAAGTGCGCGGTGGTGACGTCACTCGCATCCCAGAGCCTTTGAGCAGGGTTCGTGTGGTCGTGTTTCCCACGAAAATCCGTGGGCAGTGCTACTTTACCTGACGGATAAATCCACTTTTATGACAAGTGGTGCAAAAGTTGGTCCCCTGCACTACGAACCCAGTCACCAGAGTTCGATTCGTGGGATTGGAGAACACCAGTGGTGAACTCTGACCCTGGTTTTCCTGCCCCTTCAACCAGAGCAGACATGGACGCGCTTGCAGCCTCTTCTCGGAACAAAATATGGTTTTCATCTTTCTTCACTGGTAAACACCTTTTGTATATTGGTGTTTTCCACAAATAGTTTCCATCACTTTATTTCATTGTGTTGACGGTTCGGAGTCCAGGCCTGGTGGATTTGTAGTTTAATTTGGCTAGTCACATACCCACACTGACTAGCGTGGTGAAGTATAGTCAACTATTCCCATGACCATCACAAGGCATTTATCAAGCAGCAGATTCAGAACTGAATTGTTTCATAAACCAGATGTGAATATCTATAAATGTGACGTGAAAATAGGATTTCTGCAGTGAATATCAATATTTAAAATCTAAAAAATACTGTTCACTTATATATTTTTAAGCCGATGTTTTAAATTGTGCATAAAAAAGATTTCTGAAATTTGAAGATGGGCCTGTTTTGGTGAAACCTTTCAGACCTCTCAGGAAAATCATAAAATGCATGGCCATGTTTGACCAAAACAAAACAATGAATATGAATGTTCCTTTTTAAAATAAAAATACCAGAAGGTAACATTGCATCACTGCGTGAATGTGGTTATTGATGAAAATACTATTTTATTGTAATGATTATAGATGTTTTAATTATATTTGTGATTTTTTTATTCTACATGCATCTCATTTCCTCATCGAGCTGAGCTTTCACCTGGGTAAAGATTATTAAGTCCTATTCCATGTACTGTACATTCAATATATGTTCATGTATAGCCCATTTGTTAATCCACTGCTGGATGAGGGCCTCTCCCTGTTATCCAGGTCGTCGGGTTTATTTCAACATTCACTAGTCAAGGTTGGTGGGCATAGACATTGGAACATAGTCGAGTACAACAATGGATTTTGCTAGTTTTCTGCTGACAGTGCATGATGGCCACTCATCCAGCACTGTTCAGGCTGTCATATGGAGCTGAGACACATACATGGAGATGCTGCTCTGGTGTAACGATTATCATACTAGATTTGCATTCTAGGGTTTGATTCAATTTCACGGCACAAGAGTTGGAATGGGCACATTTATTAAATTACCCTGCCTCTGTCCACCCAGCAGTAAAAATGTGTGCAACCACAATTAGTCAGTCTATGGGCAGGTCGTGTGTAGTGGTGTAAAGTGTGGGTACTCCCATCTCTTCTACGATGTTTGGCCAGCATGGAAGAATGGGCCAAATACCCTTTTATGGGGCTCTTTTGATCTTTTTTAAGTGGGAGAGCCCTTCCACCAACAGTAGTGTGATCAATACATTTCTGGGCTGCACCATTTATATGCACTTGGGCTCATTTTTTTACCCATTCATCAAAATTCTCAGGCATTTTCCCTATCATTTGATCAGCTCAATGTAAATCATCTTGCACAGCTGCTTATTAGTTCAGGCATAAATGCACTCCAGACAGCACCACATTTTCACCGCCTCCATGCGTTTATTTATAAGCTTAACACTACCGTAGATAGATTCACCAAGTCCCATGCAACATTTAAAAAGAAAAATAGAAAAATGAAAACAATTGTAGATATTGGTGTATGATTGTTATGTTGTAACTAAGCAGAATGAACCAATAGCCACGTTACAGTAAATTGATGTTTACTTTAATTGACATTGGGAGTTTTAGCAAACCAGAATGTGTATGCAGGTTTGTCGTTAACATGCCTAGCCTAGGTCTTCAGATAACACAATAGCAAACATTGAGTTTGCGCTATATGAATCACAGAATAACTGGGCTTTGGTTGTCTAAAAAGCTAGTCTGCGAAACAAATTAACCCAAACACTTTGGCAAAGACAAACCCCACAAGCACTTAAAATATACCATAGTGCAAAGCAGTAACATCTGTATAGGATGCAGAGAAACTTGAAACTTGACAAATTGGCAATAAAATTAACAGTCTCCTATGAATTCATTCCAACATACAATATATGTACATGTCTCGGCCAATTCCACCACTCTATTATCAAACTACACTTTTGCTTATTTAAGCTATTTTCATGCATATTAAATAATTAAAATGGAATAAAGATACTGATGGCTGTTAGCTGATTACAGCTGTAAATCCATTATAGACATGTATAACATTTTCTGTAGACAGCATTCCAGTAATTTGTTCCTCTTTAATGAGTAGTGGGCGACACACGGAAACATACGTCAAGATTTGAGTTTTTTCCTCAAGTATGTCCTAAAAATAGCAATTTGTTCTTCGTCGTTTGGTTGAACGCCTTCCACATTCACTTTGCTGTCATCATTTGGACAAATTCTGTAAAACAACAAAATACACAACGTAAGTTTTTTTCCACACAACAAAATTGCAAAGTATTTTTGTATGTTACCGTAGTTTATTTCTGGGGGCTAATCTGTGCATAGAAATTAAGATGGGTTAGCGTCACTGAATTTTCTATTGGGGTAAACGACTGTTGAGTACCATTACCCAGGTTTCCCTTGCAAAAGAGGAAATGCTTCATGTGGCTCATCAGGGTTCATGTAATCTGGTTAATGGATGTTGCTACTAAATAAATTCCAATCATATGCCTAATTTTGACCACATTTTGAAAGGTATAAATTGTTGCGTGAACAAATATACCTTCAACATGCATATTTGTGTTCAAAATCAGTAAGGCTGAACTGTAAGATGAATTTATTATATTGGACCAACATTTCTAAAATATCAAAATGCCTTGAATGGTGATTGAAACAAGCCTGGATTTACAAATTATTTTCTCACAGCATCGTGGATGCCCAAATGCCACAACGGTCGAAGCGTTTTACAATTAGCTCACTTCCCCGCTCCATAATATCTGCTTGTCACAACATAAGATAGTTTGTGTAAAAAATCTTGTCATTTAACACAGCATCAACAAATTAATGTACCTTCATAGTTGACTTGTCCGTCTCCATCGATGTCAGCCTCTCGTATCATCTCGTCCACCTCCTCGTCCGTCAGCTTCTCCCCCAGGTTCGTCATGACGTGACGCAGCTCTGCCGCACTGATGTAGCCATTCCCATCCTGTGTAAATGCAAAAAATATATAAATTTGTAATCAATTAAACATGACTGCATAACAAAACGGTGCTCATGCCTGCAACAGATGATGGAAAACTGCGTGGGTTCAGCTATTGAACCAAAACTTCATCTGGTAATGGTAAGGCTTCATATGCAAGCTGCTTCAAAGCAACTAATTTAGACCACGTGACATCATTAACAATAAAAAGCCATAGTGGTTTTTTTATGGTCTGAACTTGAACACTGCGGTGTAAAAATGCTTTTTACTAACCCACGTGGGTTTGTGGGACAAACTGCCACAAGGCACAAATTGGCATGCAATACAATTCAGATGTATAAAGCATCTCAATGCAATTGCATCAAAAGGTACAATTTATTAATGAATCACAAAAATCAGTCGGTACATTTGTCGTTTTTACCACTGGTTCTAAAAAAGCTCAAGTTGCTCATCTCACCTTGTCAAACACTCGGAAAGCTTCTCGTATCTCTTCCTCACTATCGGTGTCTTTCATTTTTCTCGCCATCATTGTCAGAAACTCGGGGAAATCAATGGTTCCATTTCCTGAAAACATAAAAAGGGATAAAAAGTTCAAGCTAGGGAAAAATAAATGGTGCAATTGTTTTGACTTCTTTGTAAATAAATCTATGTTATGAGATCATGTAGCACAAATGGCTGGTACTTCCTACAAATGGTTTTCATTATAAAAAAAAGGCCACGCCTATGCCAGGCGATCAACTGAAGAGAAAAGTTAAACTTTCTACCCGATGGCATTCTTGTCATCTTTGCTGATGGCAAGCTACCTTAGGGTGAGAGACAGAAAAAAATAGATGACTCGTGATACTTGACAGGTCTTTAAACGTACCATCTGCATCCACCTCATTGATCATGTCCTGCAGCTCAGCCTCAGTGGGATTTTGGCCCAGAGACCTCATGACGGTGCCCAGCTCCTTGACAGTGATGGTACCGTCGCCATCCTTGTCAAAAAGGGAGAACGCCTCCTTGAACTCTGCAGGGAAAATGAGAGAATTATCAACCGTATAGCGTAGAAAGACAGTTGGGGCAAGCGCCGCAGGCAAGGATCTATTAAGGCCGATGTGCTACGTAAGGAGGTGGTCTGGCCAGCACCACACCCGACCACCATTGTCTCACAAGTACTGATGTTGACTACTGTGGGTTCCCAGGCCAGTTCAATAGCACGCCACACTAATGTTGGCCATGGTAGGGTCACTGGATTCGTAGGGCAGTGTGCTAGCCACCACGGCACCACTCTATACCAGCAAACAAACACGCACATGCTCACATGCAAAATACAAAACATTCAGGGAATTGAATAGCTTAGCTCACTACTGTGCAAACTTGAGGCATTTTAATAATGCACAGAATGCATGTGTGGTCTTTAATGATTGCACTTATGGCATAATGGATGTACTCAGTGCTGTAAAATATCCATGCCATGCGAACATGTCACCTACCCGCAATTTGCTCTTCTGTAAGCTGGTCTGCCTGAAAAATTATAGAAATGGAACATGTTAGGGACAGCAGCTTTACAATCAGTGCATTCAAAACCTTTGACACGTATATATCTCAGTCACCGTTTCACATGGACGGTTTACAATGTTAATGGTGAAATGTATTTATCACGCCACTACGGGCAGAAAGGCCTCCCCACCAGAGGGGGCTCAAAAGAGCTAATTTCGATGTCATTTTGTCTTCTCTTCCATGCCGACCCAGACGTCTTGCAATGGGTGGGAGTGCCCACGCTCTACCCCACCACACGTGATTTGTCGATGGGACTAACTGTTGTGTACCCATAGACATTTATATAAACACGAATGGATGGACAAGAAGGTGAAATTAATCGAATAAACGTGCACATTTTTTTTCAGCTGCCGCGCTGGGAGGTCAAATCAAACCGGCGACCTCTGCATTGCAAGTCCAGGATGTTCACCATTACACCTGGCGGCAGCATCCCAGTTGAACAATGCAAATGTATTATGAATATTATGAATGCAAATGTCGTGGATTCCTTTTTGCCGATCCAAAAACCCATGCAAACCGTAACCTCCCCAACCCAACCACACACAATCAATACACGGTCATCCATCAATAGCTCGTGTAGGCACAGACACTGGCTACCAATGTCCCCACGTTGTCACCGATAATGGTTTATACACGCCAAAGCATTAACCTTAACATATTTTGCCTTCTCTATTGTGCTGTATATTAGCGTTACGTATTCGTGTCAAATTTGGTGAGCAAAATGTACAATTGGTAAACAAAAAAAACCCCACTACTTTTGAATGGGCTCTTTACCCGCCTTAAAATAGATGTTAGGTTTTATTCATTAAAAATGAGACGAAATAAACGACATCCTTGAAAAAAATATTAAAATCCAGCGAGGCTTCTTTCAATGAAATAGTATTAATTAAACAAAAATGTACGGATACATGTCACGGATATCTTCCACGTAAAAAAATCGTCATGCACAAATATAAAATATATATCGTCAACATAATGTAAAATAAAATGTGTGAACCA